CCAAAATCCTCGAAGTCCCTAATTCAATTTATCTCAGATCCCGGATTTTTATTTCAAATCTACCGCGCAGCGCGCCGCCATCTTGCCGCGCAGTGGATTTGGAGGGAGCGCCACAAGATGGCGCGGTGGCTCAAAATGTCGGATGGAAGCGGATGTTTTCATGACGATATCCACATTTTCCGTGCATTCCCATCAGAATAAGCAGCGGCTGGAAGATGCCGCAAGGTTCTCTGGGTACACAGAGGGAGCCATATTTTTCCAATATCAGTTACGCGAAAACAGCGCACGTATAGGCATTGGGGCCACAAACTGGGATGGGATTTTTATCGGTTACTTGGCAGCGATACACTTTAGTACGTGTTTGAGGCATTCGTGGGGCCCAGTCTGTGGTGGCCTTGACGTGTGAATCCCGTGTTGTTAATAATAATCACGCGTGTGTTTATATGAAAATAATCTGAATTTTGTCAAGTGTGTGTTTCACGCGGTGGATGTGAAAAAAAAAATAAAAAAATAAAATAAAGAGAAAAAGTGGAAGGAAGAAGTCAAGAGAGAAAAAAAAAAATTGTCGAGCGCTGGCCCGCGCAGGTGTTCGGAATCCTAGGGTTAGTTTTTAACTAAAAAAAAATCCATCGAGTTTGAATACCCGGTGAGAAATTCCAGTGATTTTATATTGTTACATCGGTTTTTTTTTTTCCAGTGATAGTGATGGTATAAATGGTAATTGTTGTGGAAATTACAGTGTCGGTTATTCGGCTGCTGTGACAATGACACAGACGTCATAACACGACACTCTTTTATTCGTCTGATTGTCATCACCACACGATAAATTAATGGATTATTTATCGAGTCCTGAATACCAGTAAATATTTATGTTCGTCTTGCAGTGACTGTTCGTTGAAATCGCGAGTGTAAAGTCCTTTTTTTATTTCATAAATTAATTTTATTTATTGAAAATTTGGGGATGACAATTGTTGTCTCTGGTGAAGTGTTGAGTGATTTAAAAAATGTCGATTGAATCGACAAATCGCGAGTGAAGTTTTTCAATGGAGTCATTTGTTTTTATTTATTTTTTTAAAAGTGAATTATTGGGTGACAGTTTTGGATGTGTTTTAGCCCCACGATAATCAGTGGGGAAATTGAATTTTAGGGGAAGAACGTTTTAACGTATTTAATGTGCATTATTTGCGTGTGTAATGTCAACGGGATTTGTTAATCACCACTCAGTTCGTACATATGCATCCAATGCACGGTACAAGCTGTTACGCCATAGGTAAATACATTTATTTCATTCGTGACCCTATTTTTTATTTTTCATTCTCATCCTCTTTTTTTTTTATTCCAGTGTCCTCTAACCTCATCGTGTTACATTTGTTTGTCTCGTCATACACCGTTGTCTCTCGCGTGTGTAGAAATTCTCGTTACCGTTTTATCTCTGTAGATGATTTAGCTCATGCGGTTGAACTGTCAACTTGATCGAACATGACCTTGCCCCAGCTCTCAATCCACCGTAACGTAATATTCACGGATTATAATCCAACGGAAATTGTAAACAATATTTTTTTATTGAATCATCAACTCCCACTGGTAATTAATTCCTCCGGTCTGATGATTGAAACATTTTGATGGGTTAACTCTTGGAATAGTTGCTGCAATGACAGAAGTCAATTTCGATTTATTCTTTTTATTTTCTCTCATCGTCAATGGAGAATTCAATTTTTCATCTGCTCTCGAGGATTTAGGGGTGACTCATATCGATAAATATTGGGAAATAATGCGGAATATTTCTCGTGATAATCCAATACAAATTGTTAATAATAATTCAATTAAATCCTCAACTCCCACTGGTAATTAATCATTTTATCTCAATGATTGAAATATTTTGCCTTGTGTTAAACTATTAGAATTTTTATTCCGATCGGATATTTCCTCAATGAAAAATTAATATCAATTGATTAATATTTTCCCGGATTTTCTCCTCGCTTTCATGAATTAATACATATTAATCGGCATTCGAATTTTCATCATACATAATATATGTTCAGGACCCGTTTCGAGTATTGAGTGATAGCTCGAGGGCATCGTGAAATCAAAAGAGAAAGCGCGAACGAAACTCGTAAAATTCGAAGAGCAACAGTTGAGAAAAATATTCCACGCCAGAAATTAAATTAAATTAACTATAATTGTGTAAATAACAGAGATCAATAATGCAGGTTTATTCCACATCCTCAACTAGATCAGTGTCCATAAACAAAATTGTGAGTCAGTGGAATGAATTTGTAAAACCTTTTCGCCTTTCGATCCTCTTCTGCTCTTTTTCATTATTTTATCCCTCGTATTCCTATCCTTGAGCTGCTCATCAGTCATTTTTATCTCCAATAAAAATGTTTTCTAGTATTAACTCTTCATGATACATCTCTTCCATTGATAAACATTACAAATTAACACGAGAGGAAAAAATTGAGGTGCCACCAAATGATATAGAGTGAAAATCTATTGAGATCGTGACCATTTATTTTTTTGGACGTGCAATATGCAATTAGTACAATTATCAATAATTAATGATTAATATTGTAATTGTAATTTCAATAACACAAATATTTGGTTTCATGGAACAATTTCGTTGACTCGGAAACACTTGTGAATTGCTGAATGAATTTTGATAATTTACTTGAAGAGTATTTTAGGTGTGATTGGAATAAAAAATGATGGATTGAATTTTCAGAGGATGCCTCAGGGGCTAGTGGAGGGTCGGTGGTGTGCGCTGTGTGTTCCAGTGATGTCGGTGACGCGGCGGCTTGCACTGCTGGACCTGGACAATGGCCGGCAAGCCTGAGCATCAAATTTCTCACCCAGCTCCCCCGAATCACGTACATCAACAGTCACATTATCAACAGCATTATCAATCAAACAATACCAGCAGTTGTACAAATCAATCAAATCAATCAAATCAATCAGCCATCGATCGACAAAATCCTGACGATTCTCGTGTACTTGTTTACGTACCAACTGATAATTTTACATCATATTCAACATCAGTAGATGATAATACCGATGGACTGTACCAGAGTAATCATCAGGCAAATTATCCAGGTATTGTCGTACCTCAGGTTGATAACACCATTGGATACAAAACAAATTACAGAATTGATAGTGAATCAATAGGTAATGATCTGGAGACTGATGGTGATGCTGAGAGTGATTGTTGTTTGAAGACAATTGATATTAATTGCGGTTTAAATGGTGGACGGGGATCGGAATTGTCCCAGGAGGATGAGGATTTTGGTAGGAATTATCGTGGTGATCTGAATATCGGTGATATTGGGGCGACTGGTTCGCCCAGCAATACGGAAAAAATAGATTTGGGAAATTTGAGTATAACCGGTAGTCTTGGGAGCGCTAGAAGCCCAGCACACAGTGATGCTGACAGTTTGAGTGGTACCAGTGATTCTGGTGTTGTTGCAACAGCATCATCAACGAGATCAGCGCTCCCAAGTAGCGCTGTTGGTAATGAATCCGATGAGAAGAATTATACATCCCAGTACCAGTTGCACACCAATGTATACACCAATTATCCTAGACATTGTTCCGTTAATAATGGCATTTATCAAGGTGTAATTGATGGTAATAAGGTGGATGATGCTGGCAAGGTGAATCGGGCTAATGGTGAATTGGAACAGCTAAATCGTTGTTGTATTGGTAATGAACGTGGTTGTGATTCGGTTAGATCTGATACCGGTGAATCGGCTTACAGCAGCAGTTTGAGCAGTCCCGAGTGTCAGAGTTTACTCTCGTGTGATAATAACGTCAACATTGGTGTTTCTGTGCAGCAGGCTGCGCGTTTAGTGACACAAGTTAATGTCGGTAATAGCAACAATGTTGCGCTGACTATGAACGGTTGTGTGGTGCAGCAGCAGCAGCAGCTACAACAGGCGTCAATTGCGGCACCTCGCGGATGGAAGAGGATATGCACCAACGGGGTCATCATTTATATCAGGTTTGTCAATCGTTTATTCATAATTATTCATAATTATTGTAGCATCATATTTTATTAGAGTTTAAGATAAATTATATCGCGTAAACCGATCGATCAATCGGTCAATCGATTTGATTTTTTTCCGCATTCCCTCCCACGGTAGATATTCCACGTTTTTTTTTTTCTTGAACCTGTCGAGCCGTTGATTTTAAAAAAATATAATCGGTAAAACTCTCTTTGAACACGTGTTAAATCCCTTGAACTCAAATAATTTATAACTTTTAAACTATTTTCAAGTATTCACTATGAAATTTTCAACAAAAAATTTAATCAATTATTAATTATCATTTAACGTGAGGATTTAAAATGAGGAATGTCCGGAGGACTTTTGTATATCTTAAAATTGGATTATCTCTTTGAGCATCAGATATACATCAGAAGCTCAGGTCGATGTGTCGACCCATCTCGTTTCACTCAATTACCTAATACGATGGAGTTTTATTGATGATAAAGAGATTGGAAGATGAGACGGAATGACTGCTTGCCCATACCGCCCACAATATCAATTTCCAAAAGAACTTGACTCGAAATACGGCACGATTTGTTGAACTTTCCAAGTTTGTACTGGTGGATTTAGTTTGAGGCACGCCCCGATGGATCTAAAGTTCAAGGGTGTTGGGCCGACGCGGTTCGGTTACGACGAGCGTTTCGGGTCGCACCAAATTCGTACCCTAAAAGGTTTCTCCACCTCTGACGGATCTTGCCCCCCCTCGCCCTTCCACCTTACCACCCTTTTAGGCTTCACGATCCTAATATCAACTTTAGCTTGAGTGAAACTTCCCCGGTGTTTCGTCAGGATTGGACTACATGCCCCGTCCTGTATTCCCATGAGATGTCTTTCCCCACATTTTTAGCCTCTTACACGAGAAATCGACACCGAACGTGAATATTTTTTTTAAGATACGATATTAGCAAATTGTGCATGAGTTGTTTATGTAATAATTCGATTTACCCGTCTAACAGTTTTATGATTAGTTGAATTGAAAATTCATTGGGGCAAAGGAAAAATAATTATTAGGGAACAAGAGTTTTCAATGTTTTTATTGATTTACTTTCTCTCGGGGATATAAAAATATTTTTATTCCATCGCATCCTTGGAATGACGTAAATCTGAATATTTCTGTGGACGTCATATTACGAGAGCATTTCACAGATTATTTTCGACACTCGGGGTACTTAAGAGCCAAAAAGAAGAGACTATTGTACGTGATGTTTGGTAGTTTTGGGGTTGACATTTGCATATACTCGAGACCCTTGAATGAATGGCAGAAGTTGTAGCGTTTGAAAAGCGGATCAGACACTTTTAGGCTACTGTAGGGCGGGAAGGAAAGGGCCTACAGACCTGACGGGGTTTAGCAGGCAATCCCCCAAAATAGCGCTACGAAAAATATGAAAGAAAATATCAACTTTGTTCCCCCATCTTCTTTGAATGTTACACGTGTGACCCTATAACCTCACTTTTCTGATTCACTGAAACATTCACCCTCGCTATTCAATCTTCAAATCTTTCAATTCCTCCATTTCCTCTCCTCATAGAACTAACATGATTGCTATTTACGATAAAAGACACGATAAAAACGAAAAACTCATGTTTGTCGGAACAAAAAACAAGCGCCATGTGCACTTTTTTTATTTTTGCTCTTACACGAAATTGTTTTCATAAAAATTTGATGTTTCCATAAAAATTTGAAATTCTGGTGATTTTTTTTTCGTTTGTATCCCTTCGGTTTTCTGAGTTGAAGTTTCTTCTCGTGAGTTTTACCGCAATTTTTCGGGATTTTAAACTTTACTTGGCCGATACACTACCGCGTATCCAAATATGAGGCGCGACATGGACTTGAAATAAAAAATAACTAAAATTAGACATCGAATGGTTTTTTAGTTTAGTTTTTATTTGAAAAATTAGCGCGATGTGTGGAAAACCATTAGGAAATTCGTAATTTTGGGAGCCTAGCAAAAAAATCTACCCAAAAAGCGTCAGCGCAGACTTTCTAAAAATTCACCGAAAATTCGGCTTCAGAGGATGTAATTGAGATAAAATATAATTCAATTACTCATTATTACTCATTAGTTTTGCGGGAAAAATTATGCTAACAAATGATTTTATCTCTCGGAAAATCGAATGGTTCCAAAATTTTCTTTTCGCGCATGAGTTAGAGGAGTGAAAATGGCGCAGTGTTTTTCTTTGATCTACGAGTTTCGGTGGGAAAGCGACTGGAATGGCAAATCCGTGGTTTTGTGTAACTCGATATCGCGAGGTTCACGAGAAATGGATCCCCGTACCTCTGAATTTTTCCTTTGTGAAAAGGAAATTGAAGGGGGCGCCACTTTGGAAATTTAACCTCTCAACAAGAAAAAGGGCAACGGCTTGGCATATTGCTGTCGTTTTGTGTACCCGTGGGTCTTTCTGACGCATTAGGAAGTCTGACCTGATCCTCTCGTTCTCTCTCGCTGTCTCTTTATTTTCTCTACCTAAGTCTCGTTAAAACGATCTTTTCCGCTTCAACGGGAAACGGCGGGTGGCTAAAGTCACGGTTTAAATGCCGTTTAAAGGGCTAGACACGGGATAATAAAGAGAATTGCGTTGACTTGTCATAAAACTTTTTTTTTCTACTCGTAAATTCTGACCGGGGATCAGGAGTGGCTATTTTGTAATTTTAGAGAAAACTTTTGAGATCGAGAGGATTTTTTTTTTATTTTGCATTTTTCATGGGTCCGGGCATTAACCGAAAGGAATAATCACTTGGAAAACAAAAAAATTCGTGACCAGGGATTGAATCAGGGCTATTTTTTTATTATTAGTAAATTATTTATTTTTTTTTGTTTTTTTTAATGTTTTAATTTTGTTTTAGTATTTTAAAAAAATTAAATATTGTTTATTTTTAAATTGATTTTTTTAAGAGAAAGTTGAAAGTCTCAAGGAAATTATTGCTCGAATTTTGTAAATTTTTCGTCATTATGTGCGGAAAAGTAACTTTTCCGCACACTGTGAAGAAATAATCTATTTCGTAACAAGTGTAGAAAGTGATTTTTTATGTGCCTTCGGCTGGCGCTACCAGCGCCTGACCCACGAAAAATGACTTTCCCGCACTTGTTCGAAAATCTCCTATTTCGTTTGTTCCGTATCATACAGTTCTGGAAATAGAGAATTACAAGAATTATAAAAAAAATTAATTGATTCATAAAATATTGCAAAAAGTTGCAATGTTTTTTTACTTGAAAATTCCAGATGTAATTTTCCAACCGTGCGGTGTATTCGACTTTTTTTTCGTCATGAGACATTAGTCCAATCATTGATTTATGATGGTGTGTCGTAAATACCGACGGTAATGTACGACCATGACCGCAGTACCAGCTTCCTCCTCCCACCCCATTCTCTATTTATGTCTTTTTTCTTTTCCCTTAAGGAGGATTCTTTGATTTATACTACCTATTGACGACAATTCCCAGGTTCTCCCTCACTCCCCCATGTTTTTCTCAACATTGCGTCACCATTTTGCGCACATTGTCCTCTGGAGTTTTCTACGCATTCCCCTATATCCGAGCAGACGTTGTGTGTGGGGTTTTTATTATCCTTTTTTTCTCTCTTTTATTTGTCCTTTCTATCGTCTTTTTCACGACTTCTTTTCGCCCGGGGAACTCCCCTATTATTTTTATTTACCAAGGGGCCCTTTCTTGGCACTTGTGCTGGGTTTTAACATCGTAAACACATCACACCGAAATCTAGTGTTATAAATTTTTATACCAGTGGATGTTTTTTTCTGGAAAATTTCTCGGTGTTCAGAGGAAATTTCACTTGTGTCGCTGGAAAAACTGATTAATTCCAGAACGAATCGGATTTTTTGGGGGAAACAGTTGTAATTTTACAGTTTCCAGGAATTTTTCATCTACACTGGAAATTTATTTCGAAATGCCCGAAAATTTTGAGGAATGAGAACTCCAAGGTCAATTGCCTGAATTTTTTTAATTTCTATTAATTCGTGTTGTAAAATTTTATTTATATAAAATTGAAAAAATTCATTAATTTTCTGGGGAATCCCCCAGGAGTTGATTTTTGAAAATTTTTTTTTTTATGGAAATTTTGTAGTTTCCATGAATTTCTAGCGTGAACATGACAATTTGTTTTAATATTCCCCGGAAATTTACTGGAATTGAAACTTCAAGGTCATTATTGTTTGGATTTCTCAAACCTCCATTAATTTTCATTGCGCAATCTGATTTACACAGTGTAGAGAAAATCGACGAAATTCCCTTGAAATTCCATTGAATTCCATTCTGAAATTCCGGGAAATCCACAATTGAATATTCAAAAATCATAAAAAAAATCTCGACAAAACATAAATTTCCGTTCAATTACCCCATGAATATTTCCAAAATTGTTTAAAAAATCCAATTCAGCTAAATAAACAATCGGAAATCTCAAGAAGATTTATAAATTTTCAATTGTCATTATTTAAACCCGTGGACTTGTATTGAATATCCAGTAAAATTTCACCCTCGGTTATTTCAATTTTTTTCCAACCGTACATTCAGATGTGCAGTATTTCAGTGGTATTCAATTCCTATCGCTTATTCCCCTTTTTTTATTCCTCCAAAGATAAGCCCTCGAGAAGAGGAATAATCGACAGACAGGAATAAAAAAAAATGTCGCTAACTCGTTGGGGAGTTGTGGGCTATCAATAACGTCGAGAATAATGACAACAATCGTTAACCGAAAGAAATATCAAACGAAAATAATATCCACAAGGAATTGTGTGTTGAGAAAAAATTGATAAATTCTTCACGGAATTTTTTTGCACTTTTTCTAATTTCCATCAGAATTTTCCCATTTTCCTGAAATTGAGATCAAGGACATGACAAAATCACAATATTTATTTGATTATTTGTTCCAAATTTCTGAATTTCAAACAGTAGAATTTTTAATTTTAGCTAATTTCTTTTCAATTCGCTAATTGGATGAT